ATAAGAATCAATATAACACTTCAATTTAGAAAAATTTATTCTATCTTTGATATTAGACCTCATCCTTTTAGTTTCTCCTATAAATATGCATTTGTTCAGCATTTAAACGAAGCATTGAAACAGAAGCAAGATTAACATGACGCTGGCACTTAATGTAGACTGTTTGCCCAATTACACGTTATCGCGCTTAGAATCAGATCAACCGCGATCATCGTTTTGATTGCCACCAGGGCCTTGAACGACGGTTCACAATGTCACCACCACTCTAACACTGTGTTAACTATCGAATATGGGAGTCGCGTCGCACACGTCTCATTGCCAGCATTGACGGATTTTCAGGTTTAAAACAACATCTGACGGAAGCATTATTTTAAGACTGCGAATACGAACGTATTGATATTTAAAGCGTTTAGTCAATGATTTAAAGAAGCTCGTACGATAATTTTATTACTTGCACAATTAGTAAGAGATAATCTGGACATTGTGACATCGCAATCAAACGCGGTTAATACGTTAATTTAGAGTTGTACCATTTATATCTATCAGATAGGACATTGTGTCACACGAGGTCTCATTCCGATGAACTTTTCAGAAAAATAACAACTACTTGCATATCTCATGTAAATGACAAAAATATCACGAGCTGTTAGTCATTTTAATTATAATAGTATCTGGAAGCTGTTAAGTGTGCTGGTAAATGAATTGCATATTGTGTATTATCGTCTAAACAATACGCAATTTGCAATCGTTATTTAAGTGGCCATAAATTCAACGACTCTCGTCGATGTAATCGTTTTAGAAAGTGTCTAGAGGATCTTCAAGGATGAACGTTGCACAAAAATCTTAACTTCTGTATTTCAGCTCACCGGAGTTGAGTCAAATTTCGTTATATCAAAAGTTATTTTAAAATGAATTTCACTATCGAGATATGAATGAAATGTATTCTTGGAAACGGCACGATACTTTGAATACAGAATTGTATGAATTATCGTTGTAATGTTTGAAGTAAGAGAAAAGTGTTTCCGCGATATTTAAACGATGGTTGTTTTATTCTGGCTCAGGCATCGATACGAATGGGGCAAAGGGGCCAAGGAGGCCTTCCCAGAATCGTCTGCGGAGGAGACACGCTCGTATGATCGGCATTCGAACCTTGAAGCGCAACCCGGACCGTTTCTAGAATTTGTATTCCCCTTGGAGTCCGCGAGATAAAGAACTATTCCACTTGGACTTATACTACTCGGTCTCTAACCCTCCGTGACTGAAATTTGTAATAGTAGTCTACGGAAATCTAAGAATAGCGGTAATTCAGGATGTTTATAATCGCGTTTTCCTCCCAAACGTAATGTGTGTTTAATTTTATAATTAAATCTCCTTTTCCTTACTCCATGAGTAGTATTATTTCATTATTGAGAACATAATGGTTACGTCTTCATTAGCATGTAATGAATCTTAATAATAAAATCATTATGCGTTTGACGAAAGCACAGAGCATTCGCTTTACCCCATACGATGAATTATCCCTTAAACTTCTATAGTATAATTGAGAATTCAAAACCTTTTTGAAACTGACTTCACATTGTAAAAAAGTATACATGGTATCGCATAACGATATTTCATATGGGCAACGGTTTAAATTATTAAGGTTCCCACTTCTCTTTTCAACGCGCGAGCGGTTCGCATAAATCAAGCCATAAAATGCGCGTACGTACCCTTCGTCTAATCAGAAGCAAGCCTCTACCCACACCACCGTCATTATACCTCCACCAATAACGTCAGGTCGTTGCAAAACTAGTTTTCGAAATATCGTGTTCGAGTACACAGCCGTACAAAAGTTTATCTCTCTGCAGACTCTATCCCAAAAGAGAAATGCTAAAAGATGTTGGAAACTCGCGAGGGGAAATTAAAAATGCTCATAAGGACTTTAAAGAACTAACTATTTAAAAATCGGGATATCGTTTCAAATGAGGATGTTTGAAATTGAAAAACTTGTCCTTTAGAGAACCGAGACGAAGCGTTTAGGTTGTAAGCGACAATGTACACGTGTAGCAAGGAACGTGAGGATCGAGGAACGGCGCGAGATACGATCGGAGCAGAAATAAATCTTTGTTCGCAAGTTTCTATCGGGAAACCGTCGCGTCGCGTCGCCGGGCGTTACACGCGCCTACTTAATTCGAAATGCCACCGCTGGTAGCCCGCAGCCTGTAACGCGCGGTTTAACGCTGAAAAACCGGCTTCAAGTGTCCACCGCGAAAGTTCCAGCTCGCCGCGCCTCCATAGATCCAGTTCTCGATTCTCTCCACGAATATGCCATATTTATAAACGTTAGGTCTCTATAAATAGAATCCCTGTGTTGCGTTCGACACGCTGGACCGGACGAATAGCAATGCCAGGATTTCGACGCGGACGCAGATCGCTCCCCACTCGACAGTAAGGAAAGCGCGAAAGCAAAAAGCTCCCGCGCCGCGCGAAACTTTGACGAAAAACGACTAGCGCGAAACTAGTGCAAGTTTCTATTCCTACCCGCGTTCCTGATCGGATAAGATTTATCGAGGCTATACTCATTTCAATTGACATAGCGATCGTCTTAATATTGCGTAATTGTTCGCGGAATCAAATAATTATACGTCTCTAATAAAGTATCGGGATCACATAAGTCGCGTATGATCTATTACTATTGCCTTGGACTGAAAGTAAAACTGGCAATTAGAATGGAACTGGGAGAAAAAATTTAATACAGTACTACACAAGAGAGACAATATTTTGAGAGCTCTTTTTAAAGATAGCATTTTAGAAATAAAGAATCTGAACCACATCACTGTTTTAAAAGAATCTTCTAAGATAAACATAATTAGGTGCGTACAGGTGCGCTTTGAAATGATTTCTGTTATAATTGTAGGTCGTGAGGCAGGGAACTTGAAGAGGAGCGCAATGTCAGCTGCGGTGAGGGAGAGAACAACGACGCACACCAGCAGAAAGATCGTGAGTCATGGCGGTCCTATATCTGGCCAGAGCCAGTCGGCAACCACGGCCAACAGCCTCGAAAACAACTTAGGTAAACCTTTAAATGTGCCACCAGAGGTGTAACCCTATCCTTGAATCATACTTTTTTCGATCGACCGTGTACCACTTATGATTCCCCGAAACTGATTCTTATATCACAATGACGACTATTTAGACTACCAAACCTGAGGCACGTTTTCTTATAACTATGTTAGTTATAGTTTGGACCATGTCACAGAAGCAGTGATTAGTAATCGTTAAGTAGCTTATATTAAATTCCCGTTGCGTAAGCATTCTTGATATCGCGTCGAGTGACGTACGAAATATATTTAATGTAGAACACCAGAAATGACATCATGCGTATTGTATTAATGCACCGTTGAGATCTTTCACAATATCTATTAGATACATGTCGATTTGTCTGCCAAAAGAAGGGCACAGATCGAGGAGATCAAATGACCTAATACTTCTTCCTCTTAATGATAGTTATTATAAAACGAATATGCATGATTGCAGATGCTCTTCTTGAGGACTTGCAGACTAGTGTCTCTAGGAGTGCCACCCCTAGCCGGGCTGGCGGGGCGCGTTCGCCTCAAGTAGAGTACCGCGTGGCTGCGAATCCTACCAAAGTGGTTTCGTCAGTCAGGTAAGTGAATCTCAGAAACTGTGTCATTTAAAAAGGATGTTAATCATCAAACTGGAAAATTGATTGGAACACAGAACTATTTCGCCAACGCGAACGATGACAACCACGACGGAAAAGTACGTGAGCAGTGGCCCGAGTGGAGCAGCCAGTGGTATACCGGGTTTGGACTTCATCGATTCGGAATTACAAAATGTAAGTCACTTCCCTATTAATTACTACTAATCATTTACCAATTATCATGCAAAATAAGACATCTGCGATGTTCTGAACATTTCTTATACTTCCTATACATACAATTTCTCTCAAAATCATGATTTATTGTATTGGATGTATTGGCTATACAGTCAATCCCAAAAGTTTATGTACTTTAGAAACGCATTTTTTAAAAAGAAATCAGACGTCGGAAGGACATTGCNGCTATTTATTATTAGCATTGTTCTTCCGACGTCTGATTTCTTTTTAATTATAGGAAATGCGTTTTTTTAAGGTACATAAACTTTTGGGATTTACTGTATAGCCAATACATCCTTAAGTACCTCGAATTAATGTAATCGAGACAGTCATCTATTTGATGAGCATTTGAGGAGAAAAAAATTGCATTCTTCTATCTCGAATCTATGTATCATTCTTCGAGGAAGAATTGAAATCGATTACTTCGAGAAGAATGAACTTCTAGATTCCGTCTCGCGCACAATAACCGGGTGATCGCGCGATAACGCTTGTGAATCGGTGAAAAAGGCACATCGTTTCTCCCGTGGAATGCGCTATCGTGCATCTGACGTCTCGCGAGATATATCAAGCATTAGGTGATCACGCGGAGATGCAAAATAGCCGTTACGCGTACGTTGGATCGGAGTAATTGCAACGTTTCTAGACTGACCAACTAGCGATCCGGCGTTCAATGGGAACGAAGATTGGTTACGCGCGCAATTTGCCACGCGCATCTCGCGCTTGCCTTATAAATTTTTCCGTCGCGCGAGGCCCTTAAGGTACACAGCTCCGCGGACACGGTTTATTCTCATTTGCATACGAAATAACAGCCTCGATCGTGAAAAGCAAGATCTTTGACGAGATACTCGCGCGGAAAATTTATGTTCTAGTTTCATGCGTGTAAACACTTTTAAGACTGCGGTTGGAGATATCGTGTTTAACTAACGCGTTCTTTGTTTCTACGTGAACCTGTCCGTAATTAGTAAAAATAAAATGAAACCTGTACGATATCTAATTTAAGACATTTAATTTACTTCACTAACGTTTTAATACGTGTCGCTTTCTATGTTTGTATATTCTTCGATGAATCCAGTTCTTCTATACATCCATAAGAAAACTTGAATAAGTCTTCATCTTATAAATATTTCCAAAATGTGTATAAGCATAAAAATTCTCGTCCATTCAAAACTCAAATAAAAAGTGAAATTAAGAACGGATATTTAAAAATATTATCGTTACGTTCATTCAGTCTCTTATAATTTGATGTATCTATTAAGTATAGTACCATGATTTAAAAGTCAGCTATTGTCTACACAGTTACGATGAAATATTCATTAGCGGTAATAAAATTCCAAGTGATTCAAACACTGTTACCGATCCACCAACGTAAAAGATCCAGGAGATTCATCCTAATTATAATCTTATAAGGAAAGCCGGTTAAGTACGACCCACGTGTTTCGTATTATACATGATTGTTCATCCAATGGACCCATTGTTCAAAATAAGAGAAACTGAAAAATTTCAATGGGTAGTTTAATCTTATCAGAAGCTTGACATTGTGATTTATTTAATCATTAGGTACATTGGAACTTGACGTTGTTAACAAAATGAAATATTCTTTATCATATACAGATCAGATAAATTATAAAACTGATAATACCTCGAAGCAAAAATTCCTACAAAAAAACGCAACAATAATTGATAAATCTGTTATCGAGAAGAAATTCAAATATATTCAATGCATGTACTATTGAACAGCAGAATCATGATCCATTCCGTATTATTCATTCATTAAAAGGATTCATTGATCAGATATAAAGACTCTTACGACATTGATCAGTACACAAGTCGGTGATTCTATCTAGTGAAACGAAGTGACCATAGACGAATTACAAAAAGCAGATATGGTCTCATTAGCGTTCAACGAGATAGTAAGTTTTAACATAAAGTTATTGTTTGCTGTTTCAGGTACAGCCTGGCCAAAGTAAAACGATCGCTTACAAACAAGTGTCGTATCAGTACAACAAGAGCCTCGATGGAAAACCAGTTGGTAAGTTCCTGTTAACATTCCATTTTACGTCATTATTGTGATAATTTCAAAAACAATCTAAACAATGGGGGAATGTATATTTTTGTACGAAAGATACTGGGATTCTTGATCGTTTTTTAAACGTGACAAGAAGCATTTATAATTATTATAAAAATGCTTCGACATTATATTCTGTCCCAAAGCCAAGCGAATTCTCAAGTATACCCCACTAATATTAAAAAGGAAGTTTGTCAACTGGAAAAGGGTAAGCAATGAAACTATTTCGATAAAAAAAGGGTCCAGCATGTGACGGAACGTCCGATATACCGCTAGAAACCCTCAGGCATGTTCGCGAGGAATGGCGCGCAAGCGCTGGCACGTTTTAAACGATCGTGGAAGGAAGGGGAGGTCTGGTCACTCGTGTCGCTCCTTTTAAGGCGCGGAACGGCCTTGCAGGTATATGGTTAATTAACAATGAGAACGACAAAACGAGGAAGGCTCGTTCCTTGCAACGCGGCAATCCTCACGAGATCCGCGCCTCCTCGCGCCTCCTTTTCATCGATCAAACACCATTATCTCCTGTTAAAAGCGAGAACGGGGAAAATTAGCTGACGTTCGAACCACGGTTAAATGCCGCCGTTTACTAATGGAAACGAATCTACCGAACACAAGTGAACGGAAGATTGAGAAAACGGTTTTACCGCATTTGTAAACGGCGATTGCAATCGAATTTATGCTCATTATGTTCGTTTAAAGAGAATGCATTTGTCAATCTTAGATTTTGATTCGAAGTATTGTTTTTTTTCTAATTCAATCATTGAGTGTGTTGTAACGTTTATGCATTTATGGGAATTTTCAATAATTTAAAGAGACACAGTATGCAGTAATATCTAAAGAAATACACAATATTCAAAGTGGAATAAAATTTATAACATTTAGACACGTGAAAGCTTTATGTATATGTAAATTTCGTTTCTCCAATTTCATTTATAAAAATAGAGACTTGCATAAACATTGGCAATCTACTTATAACTGAGTGCTATCGTTTTGTCGGTAACATTTTACTCATGCAAAACAGGAAAATGTTAACACGCGAGGTATCGCTGGATTCAGGCAACTATGCATCTACAAACGAAAGTTTACGCATAAATTATACGCGAAGTACACGATCCGACATCGCGCCGTACACAGTACGTTCCGCGAAACATTATACCTAATATGTATGCATTATGCAAAAAGGAGACGCGCGGTGGATGTCGCAATTGCTGAAATTCTATGAGATTCCGGTAAGCCGTGGGTTAACGCAGGTAACACGACAACGCCATTATGTTGGGAGAAGATTTCCGTGCTGGCTGTCTCTCTATATGGAAGTGACGTAGCGGGTAGTGTGCACGCGTGTTTGTATGCGGGTGCGCGTGTGTCGTGTTTGCGGTAACACATGGACACGACACACAATCGTGTCCATATTAGGGTTGCCTGTGTAACAGAAGGTTGACCCGATTTCTCCTTCCCTCCGACGCATTTCGGAGAGTAAGAAAAGGTCGAAGGAAAAAAGCGTGATGAAAAAAATGAACGCGACATTGGAACACAAGGATGTCCATTGTCATTGGGCTACCGGGTGATGGCCGTTCGACGTTACAGATTTTCGGGTCAAGCGGCTGTGTCATTAATCAAGAAATGACGCTAGACGTTAATTGAGAAATTCCGTAAAATTAATTGAAGGGAATCTCTTTTTGTATTGCAGATTCATGGACAGCAGACAATGCGTTAAACACCAGTTCGAATATGATGTAAGTGCCGTTCTCTCTCAAACACAAAAATATCACAACGATTTTTGAATTGCTGCCAACAGGATCGTACGTCCGGCTTCTGTTTAAATAGAAACTCGCAATTCCGAATTCAATGTCCTTGAATTTTATTGAATTTACACTTTCATTTATAACGTCTTCAGAAATTGAACTTTATTTTCAAAGAATATGAAATCTCGAGAATGATCGTTCGCTTCAGGCTGTGGTATTATGTTTCACGTTACGCATTTTACAGCGACGATATTCGAGAAAGGACCTACGACGAGAGCACGCTGCATCGCGGCACGGAACCTGTTAGCAAGTCAGTCAACAGGGAACTGGTGAGCACTTTGTCTCCAGCAATATTTCACGCGTCACCACGTTCGACGCGAATAGAGAAATATAAGAGGGTGTTCACGTTTCAGGTATACAGCGATACATCCACGTCCCGTTCGAAACAGGCTTCCCCTTTGCCAGGTGTCCAAAGGGATGTCAAGTACATTCAAGAGTCGAGTAAGTATACTTGTGAAGAAAATGTACGAATAAATACTTAAATTACTAAGGGGTGTATTAAAATAATTTTCCCAGAAAATGTATTAAAAACACACTCTATGAAAGAAGATTAAATAAGATTCTACCAAAATTATGGATCAAGATAGTTTTTTCAATTAATAGCGAAACGTATAACTTAATGTTGCGCAGGCTATCAAACGGAGCCACAGCAAACGGTGACGACGATGCACACAAGTGCCGCGCAAGAATACGGAAGCATGGAATATGTACCAGTCCCATCGCCAACGCCAGCGATACCGATCAACCTGGCACCGGGACCGAACACAAAAGTAACGACCACCATTAAAACGTACACGTACGAACTACCGGGACCGCCTGAAACCTATCTACCAGGTGGCAACGTGCCAGGTTCAGTTGTTCTGCCAGGCGATCAGACTATCACGTACACGATACCAAAAGGCACCACGACTACGGACAAAACGATCAGTTATCAAACCATGACCGAGAACATACCACCGAGAACGCCGACTAGATACAGCAGTCCACCTCCTCCTTTGACAGACATCACGAAGAAATCTACGACGATTCATCAAGAGTCGAAGTTCTACCGAGAGGACCATCTCGGTTCGCCAGGCCAACCGACGTACCGTCCGAGCTCGCCGCCTTTGGAAACCAAGACAAGAGTCACGAGAAACGAGAAGTACTATCAGACAGACGGGATTTATGCGAATGGACATCCGCCTGGCGATCGGACGGATTACCCGGGAACCGCGACGGTACCAAGGTCTATTACACCGACGCAATCTAACAGCGCGACTATATACAAATTTTCGAACACGACCACGACGATACCGCCGAGCAAGTACCCTGAAGACCACGAGGTTCTGTTGCCAAAACCATTTCCAACAGACGGCATTTCTACGAGCAAGCCTGCTAAAGTGCAAACTCCGCCTAAGAAGTTGGAGGAGCTCATGGCATCTTTTTCTGACACGGAGGTAAGAAAACGAGTATTTTAAAGACTATTCCTAAATAATCTAATGTTATACATACAAATTGCTAACAGACATTAAGAATTGAACTACAGGATATTATTCGAATTTTAAAATATTTGCTGCCTTACTACGATTGATAAAATTGTCATACATTTACCTAAATTTTTATATTTGTTTAGCGTGAAGTACTGGACAACATCGAGAAACGAGAAAAGGTACAAAAGAGGGAGTCGCCAGCCGTTAAGAAGGAAGTTGATTTCATACCTCACACACCGCCCGTAGTGCAAAGTAAAAATGTTGCTGGACCCCCGGTTTATTATCCTCCGGGCGCAGCAGAATTTACTAAGAAAGAAGAAGCTAGCGCAGCTATGTCGCAGTCTGGCGTAAGTAGACTCTACTCATACCTTTTCGAACATAGAAATCCTAATTATAAAAGAGCATCAAAGAATGATACTGGACAAATAATACGATGTGCGATAAAAATGATTGCCCGTTTTTTTATAGGGTGGATGGCAAAAGGGTAAAGCAAAGTACGAATATGAAGCATCTAGCAAAAGCAAAGCGAAATCGAGCAGCGGCAAAGCGGTCGTCCCCGTTTGCCTGCCTCTCTGCTGCGCCTTGCCATGTGTAATTATGTAACTTATTTTAATATTACCATAAACGTGTTAATCGATTAAGCAACCTAATAGTCACGTTTTAAACGATCGCCCGTCTGAATTGATCTGTCTTCCGTCACTTACGTAGGATAATACGCGCAGGAAAAATATTTTTATATTTAAGAAGCAGTAAACGACTTTAAGCTAATGATAAGCACAGTAATAAATATTTTTGGATTCTTTATCTATGTGAGCAATCATGTACATATATTATATCGATGAATAAATATACAGGTAAAATTTCATATACTTTGGATCGACAAAAGGAATGATTGCTAGGAACGAGATATTGTAGTATCATAATTGTAAGCTTTGTTACTTATAACCGAGCTATTTCTTCATATTTTTTATTATTAAATTATTTTCAAATATGATACTGTTACACTTTTATACAAGGAATTAAATTATAAAACTGGTCTTCATTTAGCACATGTTCTTATTTTACTACTATAGGAATAAAGGATTTATTTATTTTTTCTTCTGTTTATCACGAAAACACTCTTTTATATCTGTTCCAAATACTTTATTTCAGTATACATTATATTTATACACAAGAGTTATATTGTTACAAAATAATTTGTATCTTTGGTAGAATCTCTTTCCCAAGTGCTTACATCTTAATTTTAATTGTTGTAGCTATTACATATTTATATAAAACAGTTTAATTAATGGATATAAATGGAATAAAATTCTATATTAAAAACCTGCTGGATGTTCGCGATGTTAGGATAATTTTACGTTAAATAAATAAGTGAAAGTCATAGGTATAATAATAGGAAATGCCTTCAATCTCACGATTTTAAAAACTTTTGTAACTATGATATAATACCGTGAATTATGGTGCTATAATAATTGTAATGAACAAAGACATGTACGCGTAATGCACGCTCGACATGGAAATGCGAGTGCGTGTATTATAAAGTGCATGTATAAAGTTTATTCTTAAATGTATGTAAAAGTCGTGCCATGTCAATACATAATACACAACATATATCAAACGTGTGTTGATAAGTAACAATAACTTCTACGCTACAATAAAATATCTGTTCTTCCTATGTCGTCTACATTCATTCTTCCTTTATTCATAACACTTCAAAATACTGTTCCGATCATTAAATACGAAAACGCGTGGAGTTTTAACGTTGTTAAACGTTAGAGTTTTAATAAAAATACACAGCATAGACAGTGGCCACACAAAATATAGTGTCCTGAAAAAAGAATGTTATTGTCTTTGCGCCCATTTGGCATTGAGGGGATTCAAATTCTTTTTCTATTCTTACATTTGAAAAGCTATCATAGGCATATGTATCTGCCTCTGCATCCCATATGCACCTTGTGCCCATTTTTACACCAGCACCGTGCTGCTGACCCAAAACGACATTTACGATATATTTGTAACGATTGAACTTTAACTCTAAAATTATATCGTAAATTATTTTCAATTCTATACGAAGTAGATCTATCATGAATTACTTGATCTGTTCGAGAAATAGACACTTCACCTTTAACTTTCTCTCTAATTGTGTCTGCTATGTTATTAGTCCACTGAATAGCTTCTTCTGCATTGTATGTTTTTGCAGAGAGCTGATCAAACAGTACATTATGTATAACTTCTTTAGCACTTAAAGGTTTAAACCTGTATCGAAAATACGTAGCATTCACATCTCACTAGTAATAAGTGTTCCTAAATTAAATTGTTCGATCGATGTCATAATTGCGACACCACACATTTCTTTATTTAATTACTTCTGGTATTTAATATTATTGTTAATCACTTGTTAGTTACATTAAAATTGTACTGTATTGTAACGTATTTTGTTGTAATTGTATGAAAAATAAAACACTTATAACAATGGTTTTGAAGCAAAGTAAAGAATAATTTTTTTACATAGAATAATAAAAGAATAAATCGTTAATAAAAATTCTGTCAATAAACATTGCAGAATAATAATAAATGTTTGTTGAAAAGCGTTCAGGAGCCAATAAATGAATTTGGCATTTGAGGAACGAGTACTAATTAATTTTATAGAAAGTAAATATAATTAAATAAAAAATACTTGTCGTATAACTGTGGACGTATTTGATAAACGTCTGCAGGCTTCAGGTCTGCGTCGAGCACCTCAACGTCCACCCTCGGTTTTTCTTCGATCAGAACTTTATCTTCATCTATAACTTCTTCGTGGCCCTCCTCTACATCTTCCAACGCGTAAGAACCTTTACTTTCAGTTTTCTCTACCATTTTTTCCTGTCTCTATTTTACCGAAAAGCAAAACGAAAAGCACAATTAGGTTATACACCCGATCGCGTTGAGAGCTGACGCACAAATGAACAGAAGCGTGCGCATCTCTGCTTTGAATTGTTTGACATGCGCGTTGAATTTGAAAATCCTATAAGATTACACTTTGTTAGTATTTCATCGGTGATCGGAGTGTATTAATACTAGAGTAATAAAACGATTGCAATTAATATCAGTACAAAAACATTATAAAGGACATAAGAATAAACCACAAAGATATTTAGTAGTATGTATATTGAAATCATAAGTATAATTCTAACCCGTTAGACACGCTGTTGAGGTACTTCCTTTAACCATTTTTATTTTTAATAAGTCGTACAGAATTCTTAACTTTTAATTAAGTCAATTAAAAGTAAGTGCACCTACATATAAGTACTTCACTGATCGCTTGGGTTGCATCCTCCAAGCGATACGGAAGCGTTATACAACGCGCGGACATCCGCGAAGTTTGGTTGCTCCGCGATTACGTAAATCCCATTAACGCGCCACCGATTCGTTATATTCGCTATAATTTCGCGTTATAAACGCTGAAAGAAGCATTTAATGCTCGGTTGCGTATCTCGAACTCGTCCATCGCAGCGAGATACGTCTAACGTTTCAATCCCAGCGAATATAAAAAGCACAAGATATTCTTATATGTTCAATAAAATAAGAAGTGCGGGCAGTCCCACGGTACAGAATGAAAATCTGAACAGTTACGCAGACCGTAAAATATTTCTAGAGATATTTCCCTTTAAACCTCGCTTTTAAACCCTAACAAGGTTTACAGTAACAAGCTACAAAATTCTCATCGTCGATTATACGATATTGGTAATTCTTATAAGTAGTAAAGTCGAGTTCACGCATTGCATTCGAGTGATCGTAGATTTTCTTGATCACTGGTGGAAAGCCACGTACGTTCGCTGCTTTAGCCATTTCGTCGTAATACGCCCACTGGCGTTCTTTCAGCTTGGTGATATGCCTTAGCTACAAAGAGCAAACACGTTCTTTTCAAACTGAAAATTTGCATTATAATGTGTAACGAAAGAAACACGTACCGGAATTCCTTGGTTGAGTAAATCTCTCTTTTCTGCCTCACTCGCTTCGCGCATTTGCTTGGCAGAGGGTAGCTTGATGAAACCTTCGAGAATAGCTAGGATGTACTGTGCCTGTATATGGAACATTGGAAATGGGATTACTATGGCCGGTAGTCCCATCACGAATAAGCTCGGATAATCGATGTGAATCAAGTGCTTGTAAAACGGCTCGACTTGGTTGTTCTCGGTACGCATCTCAACTTTAGTTGACATAAAGGGATACGTGAATTCATAGCCTGGAAAAATAATATTCCAACGAAATCAGTATAGATGTATGCTCGATTAAGAGGGTCAGGGTCCCACCGAGGGACAAAACGATCTACAGCTAAAATAAGAATCAGAGCATTTCGGATTAAATTGATAAATATAATAAATTTGACGAATGTCTCTGAAGAAGTCAAAAGTTGTTTTATTGATTTAAGGCATCGGGTGAAATTCGACAGGGCCCTGACGGTATTCATTTTCTTATGTAGCTATAAGTAATTTGGGATACCTCGATCATTTATATGTACGAAGTAGATCAAGTCATTTTACCGGTGCAATATATGAAGCTGTCTACTTCGGCCATGGAACCATCGTTGAAGATGAACACGTTCCCCTGAACCGATTGAATTCCTGGCCTTTGTTCCACGTTCTTCGCCATCACAGAATCGACCGGCTTCGGTAGATTATGACTTAAGTATATCTACGTAAAATGTAACGGAAACTGCATTAAAATAAATTGTGCAATTGACATTTGAAAAAATCGTTTCTAAATATACGAAAATTCAGAAATTCATGGATTTCGTGCAAGACAGGAAGTGTCACAGTTGTGATATAAAGCTAAGCGACGTTCCATGTACCTTTTCGGCATATTCAGAAACCTCCAGCGCGATATCGATACCAGACCAAGACGCACCGAGGATGCAAACTTTCTTTTTCGCGTACACTTCCGGCACCCTGTACTGATGGCTGTGTATGGATCCGCCGGGAAAACTTTCGATACCTGGAATGTGCGGAACATGTCCGACGGTGTAATGCCCGTTACACACGACGACTGCGTCGAACGTTTTAGTCGTCTCCACCTTGCCTTCCAAGTCCTCATACGTAACCATCCAGATCGTCTGGCCGTTGCGCAGAGTCTCCGGCTCCACGTGTTTTACTAAAGTATTTAACTGCAAATTGTGTAAAATGAAAATAGTGAAATCGACACTCCATGACTTAAATTGCGGTTTTACTGAATTGTGCAAAACAGGCATTGCTTTTACCTTTATGTGAGGATATAAATTAAAATGCTTCGCGTAATCTCGCAAATACTGTCGAATTACGGTATGATGAACGAACGACGGTCCCTCGTTTTCTTTCAATGGGAAATCAGGTATCTGCATGATTTCCTGAGGGAGATTCGTTCTGCAACACATTTTAGCGATTTTCACGATTCCATGCTTTCCTTCTAATTCTCGTAGGGTCGGATAGGCTCCGTAATCTCTTATCTGTTATGTGTAATCGATGAATCACGTTAAGCTTAACAATACCGCATTTTAAGACGGTATCCAATCAGTATGCATAGAGACTATCGTCAGTTAATTTGTTTTGACGAATCAATAACTGCGATATAATTATTTCAGAATATAGGAGAAATATATATGTATACATAACTGTAATTCATAAACTGGTTATCTTTGATATGCTCAAAGTTCTCGACATAACGATGATTTCATTAATCTTTAGCAACGTATCAAACGCAGAGCCATACATCTATGCTTTAGCTAAAGCATTGGCATTATCGGAAGTCCTCGGAATTCTTAGTTACCATCTCTATAATTTTTTATAGGATAGTCATTAATGTAAATAGATCATATCATTAGTAAAATAGTTCCAAGTACGAAAGTTAAAAACAAGTGAGTAATACAGTCAGATAAATTATTTTCCAAATAGAAATGTCAGTTTTCAATTTTGGCATTGATTAATTAAAGGTGGGAACAATTATAGAAACGATGTATAGTTGTTAAACAATTTTTCTAAGATTTCACCGTTTCTTGATAATCGACTTATTTTGTTTGATATCTATTTATACTTGCGTCGAGACCAAATATGCTTACTGTAGAGAAATTCAAGAAATTGTATCTCTAAATAATGCATGTCTGATGGAAATTTATTTTGCCTTTTTCTGAACTGTGCAGAGTGCAGAGCATTTCAATACTAATGTTATCGAGTGTTACCAGATGTTTCATATACTTATTTCGTAACGTTCATTGCTGTTTCATAATGAAATCTGGCTGCATAATATTTTTCCCAATTAATAATAGCAATCTCATACAATGCATTCACAGTTAAAATTAAATTTGCATTTATCGACAATGATGTTTTAGAAAAGAGATGATCAGTCGAGGAGCTTATTACCTAATAAGCGTCAAACTTCTTAGACCGGAACTGTTTATTGAAGCGTTTGTCTTATTCTTATTATCGCGTGTCAACGGAGTTTATCGCACTCAGTCGTATCTGCTGACTAGACCCATTAAAATTATAACTATCACCATTACCGCATAAGCAACGTGAAAATAATATACATACTCCGTGATCCTATACTTATACAAGCAGTAATTCAAAGTATACAGTGTTTCTCACATACCAAAACTGTTGTACATATTTTGAAAAATGAATCTCAAAATTATGCAAACGCCCTGTGTATCAGTGGATCGATGCATTCCTGGCATTTTTTGTATAATGATAGCGAGACTGATCAGAATGATATTCTTTACCATAAATATGTTGAATATTATTGGTAAGTGGATATTATAAAATCTCTACTCAATGTTTTTAATGGTTTCAAATGACATGAAGTGAAAGCGTACTCCGAGCGCTTTTCCTTAATTAACATCGTGACTGTTTTATCCTGCACTTAACACTTTTTCTCTTCGAGCAATATATCAAGCCGTATCAGCCGTATTGAAAGGCGGCGATGCGTCTTGTTGCAGTTGCAAAAATGACAGCGTCAACGTCATCAATCAAATCACTGAACTATTCACCGAGTACGTAGATATATGTATATTATGAACACTGGAGTAGATGAATGATGAATGACCGTCCCATATAACGAAAGTAAATTGAATTTGCTATACCAGTTCAGAGATTTTACTTAAAAGTGATTCACGTGAAAGTGAAGAGATTTTACGGAAACGTAAGCCAAGTCTATATGCTCCCTTATTAAAAAATGGGTAATTCAAATGATCAAATCATAAGTTATACGATAGAATTAATTCGATTCCTCAAGACATAATTGACATTAAAATAGCACCGAGACAAGTGCGGTGTAATGAGCTGTCAAGTTTTTACACTGACCTTAAATTCTTATACATGCTACTGTGGATCGGTAATCCATGGGAGTCGACGTCCGTTTCGTCGGTATAGACCCAGGTACCACCGACTTGATCGGTTTGCTCGAACAACGTAAGACTGTACCTGTCCAATTTGGTTGTAGCATGGCGAGCTACCACCAATCCAGCTACACCGCCACCAATTATGGCAATTCTGGTTTTGCTGCTTGGCATATTGTTCAACAGGAAACACCTTAGGTTCTATCGAACACGGAAGATAATGAATTAATCAATTTGCTTCATTCCCGAATTTCATCTTGTATTAAAGAATTGAACTATAAATTGATTCGAAGTAAGTTCTAAATCGATTTGTCTAGGAATTTTCTAATCTTCAAATTGAATCACTTGTTGAATATTAAAAAATCTGTCGCGGGAAAGTAACCGAATTTGATCAAATTTGATTGGAGAAATAAATTAATTAATAAACATAAAAAGATCGTACGTACTGCGTAGAGCCGTGTAACAATATATTGGTCAGTTTCCAATTCTTCAACACGGATAGCGAGTTTTAATCGCAAATACAGTAAAGAATATAAAATCTCGTAGAATATGTCACGTTAAGTACTTTAGCCTAATACTTTTCATATAATACCCTTTCCTCGTCTGTAGCTTTAGACAAAAAGAAAATAATAGTCAAGTGCCGCTTCGGCCTGACGCTCGCGCGAAGATAAAGTAGGATGAAGCCAAAAAGAAATAGAAAATATTAGGAAAAACGAGAGGCTTCACTGGTAACACTATCGCGCACTAAAGGAGGAACAAGAAAAATACTAATCCTGAAGCGGCTCGTGCAGAAGCTGAATTAAGACTGTCCACCCGAAAGCAAGCCGCTGCCTGGTTGCAACGTAGCCGATGACCAGCTTCCCCTCCGATCATCGCGGCTTACGTAAATGCGGCGAAGATTTCTTTCTATATAGAAGTGCGCTTGCTATTTGTCACACGCCAGGTTTCGGCTCGTGAAACACAAACAAACAATAAAATTGTTTTTAAGAAATTTAACATACAACTTTATGAAACCTGAACTACCTATTCGTAATCCTAATACTTCTGTGCATTTGCAAATGCAAAAAGAATACGAAGAATGTTATAGACTTCTGTGCGAATTGAATACCAGGTACTCTTAAATTGATACATTATACAATTTTTAGTATCAATAAAAGTTAATAACTGATAATATTGTTGTTGCTTTGTAAACATCTTTCGATGAATTTAAACTGAGACTTGAATTACGAAAGTCATTCTAATCTACTGGACACTGTTTTATAAGAAAACAATTTTAATAAACGTCCATAAAATAAAGTAGCTGTTTTCAAGATTTCAACGTTTTCAAGATTTCGACGTTAGATTCGAAGATCCGACGTTTTAAATGTCGTTAAATGAAATTAAAATTCCATTAAGAAACTGATATAGTAATTACGGGCATAATTAGCGTCGAACTGAATTGTTTTTAATATCTTAAGTCGTTTACTGATTTTAAATTTCTACGACATCGTAAAATATTAGATTAATCATGGAGATAAAAATATTGGAAATCGATCCAGCCTCATCTGGTAGTCTAATTCAATAATTAGACATTATATTTATTTCCCGTCGTCACGTTTTCTTGATAACTTTTATCGAAATACTGATAGTCTGAACACATAAATTAAAATTCCGTAATCGCTTCTTTGACTCTGGAAAAAAGCGTAGGTTTTATCTATTTACCAACTTTTCTACAATTTTGCGTATTTTTTTTTTGTTTTCATCAACAAACCGAGAGTAACGCCGTTTCTGATGAAACTGTGCCGAGTATAAAATCAGAGTATCAGTTCGCACGCGCGTTGCATGTATGTGCATCTCGTGGCACGCGCTTGCACACGCTTCCCGTCTAGAAATATACTGCCGTGCGACGGCTTACCATTTTGCATGATGACAAGAGTCAACGTGATTTCAACTCGTCGAATAACCACTAAATCTTTTAAAAATATAAGCCTGCGGTTTCTAATGAAATTCGAGAGTCGATTAATCGTTAATGAAATCAGTGAAATTAACGATCGAACGATGAGCGTTCAATAGCAAATTGGAATCTATAAAAAATATTATTATCCGTTTCAATGTTCCCATGGATTTTTATTAGATTAATTAATTCAATGTATACCGAACAATATTACAATGTGATATACATTCCAGAATAAAAAAAAAATTTTTCATTCAATTCATATCAAATATAATTATAAATTATAATTGCATGATACAAAAATGTACAAATGTAAATATTAATGTTCTTTTATCGTAATCTGCTTAATTTTTGTACTCTCCTACTCGAGAGCTCTGATTTTTATAAATGAAATTCAAATCGTACATGACTTTAGTAATTAAAAATGTAAAGTTCAAAAACAAAAGGTTAACGATACTTTATATGCGTATAAACACAGAATTACTAATAATAGTTTAATAGAGCTTTCAGAAATTAGCTTATGTTTATAAAATATTGCGGATGTTTAAGAAAGATTAGATGTCTCATTCGTTCTTCCTTCATCATTAAATTACACTAATTACTAATTCTTGTAAAATAATACATGAATAATTTGACATTGTATTTGCAATAAAGCTTTTAGGAGCATTTACTAAAATGTCAGATTTAAATGTATTGCTACCAAACTTGGTATGCGATTGACATTTTACATGGTATGCGTGTAGATACGATCAAGTGACGGCTAACAGAAAATTAGTCGAACCTCGGTACTTATTACAGTGTATCTAGCTATCATTAATTGGAAAGATACAAACTGTAGTTAAGTTTCATCGTGAACAAAATTGTTGTTAATATCACGTTGCTACTGACCGATACCGATGTGTGATGAAATCAAAGAATCTTATAATATCAGCTTGCTGATCAACGGCAAAATGCATACTGGGATGTAGACACGAAGTGCATACAAAAACTTCTAATCCGTTCAAATTAAAATACATCCATTTTTTTTAGAAAACGATCACTCGCAATCAGTGCGGACATGCAATTTGAAATTAAACAGCAGAAATTCGTTTACCAAGTATGTTATTTATAATCAGATAAAAGAGATTTTCAACTTAATGAATAATCAACGTGCTCTCATTATACGCGAATCTTTGTTGACAGTCATAAATATTTAAAAAAGTCAGATACTTCTGCGGATTTTTGCAATTACAACTTTCCTTTGAATCTGCGCGAAGTGAATGTGCCAGTGTTGAAACATTCTTTCAAAGGAAAATTATAAGTTTCACCGCGTACATATTGCGACAGGGGAAAATTGCTTCCAGCATCGAAACTTTTTACGTTCCACGCCTTATGCCATGTGACTACTTCACTAACCAATTGATGATTAGGTAACATAGTAAAAGTTAATCATCGATATTACTACCCAGACACACTATGTACGTACTGTTACGTTCATTAGGCAGCGCTAATTCCGCAAGTGATAAAACTACCCACTTAAGTTAACTCGGTACTGGGAAGGTATAACGCGGTGAATGCATTGAATCAATTATTTCAAGTTGTATGAATATACTTATTGAAGACGTGATTGAGAAATAAATTTAACAAAAGAATTTAGTTTTAGTTTAAATAATACTTTTATTAATGCTATTATAAAAAATACGTAGGATACATACCTGCTGTATAATCGTTGTAATGTGAGAAATCTATGATATTTTAAAATTTAGTGTATGTACAAATGGTAGATCTATTAATAATATACTATTATGTGAATCCATTACTGCTCCAGTTTCGTGACGTGAGTTCTTTACAAACCTGTATGCGTTGTACCAATCATAAATCTTCACGCAGCCTTGTTATTCACAATGCTGTTTGTTTTTACATATAGTAACATCTTACGATACACGATAACAATCTCTAACACGTAATTATTCCTTATAAAAAACAAATTTTTCGAGCAACTGCTGCAAATATTTTCAACTGTGCACGCAATGAAAATTTATAGAAAACAGTAACTGTAAAGAACATCGAATGATAATACGTAATCATGGAACACGTTTAATACACGTTACGTAACATGTACACGGATGGTTTAGCATACAAAATTTGAACAATCTTATCTCGAAACTGCGAAACTTTGAAAGTGACTGAGATTCAAATAAAGATAATTAAGTAAAGATTTGTACCTAAGTAGAACAAAATCCGATCTCGAGTCGTAGAGCGAGGGACGAGCTGATATCTCGTTGGTCGACGAGACCGATTTGCAGGTCCCCTTCGTTAATAAATTAGCGATCGCCGAGTAATCAGTGTAGCTGGAAACCGGGTAGGACTAAATAGAGTAGACAAAGGAACTCGGGATGCTCATTACTATAATTGAAGAGCAGATATGCAGTGTTTTGCGCGAGACCAACTGATTAACACGTATACTTATAGGTGCGCGGAACTGTCACGCGAAAATGTTTTCGTGAACAACGTTTGCTACGCGTCGTAAAAATTCACAGCGCTTTTCCCATAACGTCACCATCCCATATAGAACTCGTTGAAAATGGTTTCAAGCGTTAATCGACATTTTTAATACCTGCGACATACACACTTTTACATGCACATTACCATTGCCGCGGAACCGTCAAGATTGCTCACGGAGTACGTTGACAGATGCATGTGCACGGATTTTTCGACGAACACGACAACGCATCTTGTTACTGATTGACAATTAATTAATCGCTGTTTCGGAACGGTCGCAGAAAGTATTAACGACACGATGCCTATGCGTAAGTATAATTTTTTAAGAAAAGTCGTGAGCGGATCGAAAGCGAACGTCGATACCACGCGAACGTCGCCTCGGGTAATTGTCATCTGAACTTTTCCACTAACTGTGCAAGAAGATGAAAGTAACATTTTCTGTTAAAATTATTCGAACTTTTTTCTGTCAAAAAATGGATATGCCTCCTAGTTACAGATCTGTAATCATTTATAATGATTTGATATTTTTTTTTTATCTATAGCATTACTAGAAGGATGGGTGGCTTATAATTAGAAATGACGCTGTATCGCTTCTTAGATATTGTATCAAAATCGTCTTATACGGATTAGAAAAATAAGATTCAATATCATTGGAAACGAAAAATGTCGCTGATTCACAGAGTTGGTTTTGTAGGCTGATAACGTTACGATATAATAGTGGCATTGTTACACATTATCGCTAATGATTACTTCCTGTTATCGGCAGCTTACGTTTCTAATATAAATAACCCGATTTGCCGATTATATATTTATCGGAATAATAAATCTCATTAAATACTGAAGTTTTATATTTTATAAATAATTAAGACTGTCGAAAAATGGAATTGCAGCGAAGCTGCAGTTATCATGCCGGGACGTACTGTGGTACCTCGTTTTTTGCGGGTTCGCGATCAATTACATGTTGAGAATCAACTTGAACCTGACGATTGTGACAATGGTGGTGCCTCGGGTGAAGAAAGACTATGTTTCGGAGTGCATGACTCGAGATATATACAGTAGTAACGTAACTACACCGAAGTCAGACGAATATACCGTAATTCTCAAGTTTTAATTCATCAATTAATCGTACAATAAGTATTAGTGTTTCATAAATTAATTCACGCTAGTTATTTTGATTTAATCTTCAGGGCGGTGATCGATTTCATTGGACCGAGTACCAGCAAGGCTTGGCTTTAGGAGCTTTCTACTGGTTTCACTGGCTGACGCAGCTTCCTGGAGGAATCTTAGCAAGACGCTATGGGACCAAACTTGTCTACGGCTTAGGGAACTTAATAACAGCGCTAATCGGCTTCCTCATCCCGTGGCTGACGTGGTATCATTTCAACGCTCTCGTTGTCCTACGAGTTCTTCAAGGTTTGATAGCTGTACGTCATCGAGAAATTAAAATTTAGTACAACACATAAAAAATTCCGAAAACTAGTAATCATCGTTTCATCGAGTTATAGCATTTTCATTAATTTTATACATGAGAACTTCAAATCTGTTAAGAAAATAAGGGAATAAAAACAAGTCGTTGAAACTATTATAGGGTGTTGTATGGCCCTCGATGCATGATATGACAGCCAAATGGATCCCTCCGAACGAGCGAAGCAGATTTGTCAGTGCATATTTAGGTAAAAATCTTTGTTTCAGAATTTGATAATAAAGAGAATATAGTGTACAATAATTGATGAATGTAGATGTCAAATAATAGTTGAAGTGGTACTTGGTACAATGATTTTTTTTTTAGAAATCATTCTGAGAAAATCTCCGTTAATTTAATTGTGCAATACGTGCGTTATTTTCCAGGTAGCTCTGTGGGCGCCGCTATAACTTACCCACTTTGCGCAACCGTCACCAATTGGTTCAACTGGGGCGCGGCATTTCATGTAACGTCGATGCTCGGCGTCATTTGGTAATAAGAATAACATTAACCTGACTAAAACCAGCGGACTTTTAGTAAAAATGATTCCGAAGGTCCTGCTTTTGGTACTTCTTGGTATACAACTCGCCCGAAGAACACCCCCGCATATCCGACGAGGAAAAGAAGCACATCTTGGACAGCATCGCTACGTCGGTTCAAAAAACCGAAACTAGAATTCCGTGGAAATCTATATTCACATCGCGTCCAGTTTGGATTACGATCATAGCTCAATGGGGCGGTGCATGGGGTCTTCTCACTTTGATGACTCAATCACCGACTTATTTCACTTTCATTCACGGATGGGATCTCCGGGTGGTATGTCACAATTCATTATTTAAGAACTTACCATCGTTTCATAAACTCAATCAATCTTCCCAAGTATATCAAAGTATTAAATTTTGAAAATATATCCGAATTTATTGACTTTAAAAATTGCAAACGTTTAAAAGAACTATTTCTATTAATCTATAATTATTCTTTAATTCTTCAGACTGGAATTCTCTCTGGAGCTCCGCATATATTAAGGGCGATCTTCTCGGTTTACTATTCGAAGATGAGCGACTGGCTCATACGCACCAATAAAATGAGATTGACGAACGTTAGAAAAATGGCCACGTGCGTGAGCGTCGGCTTACAAGGAGTCTTCATTTTGGCTCTGGGTTTCAGCGGGTGCTACCCGATTCTCGCGGCATTCTTTTTGATGATGGGAACGATGGTAAACGGCGCGGTTTCCGCGTCCACCTTGGCGGCTTTCGTAGACATGAGTCCGAATTACGCCAGTATTCTCCTCGGGTTCTGCGGGATGGTAGTGATAATCACTGGGTTCATCTCACCGATGGTCGTTGGACTCTTGACGGATAACAATGTATGTATAATCGTTAAGAAAAGTAAAAGCTTTTTGTATTCATTTCGTCCACATTCATCCGTCGTGAGTAAAAATACATAATTTGATGTAATAATCAGTATAGAAAATTCCCAGGATTTTCTTCTTTCTCGTTTATGGCCACGTTGTGTCTGTGTCAGATAAAGTACACAACTTCTTTGTTTAATCGTGAATTACATACCCTTGAATTACTACTTTTTTATTAATATTCTCCTACATACTGATTACGCTTTATCTAAGGGTAAATACTCGCTTACGCACGTGCTACCTGCGAACTTCTCTCTCTCCGCGATTACATAATAATTCGGCATTTGAGTTTGCAACTGTTTTTCAGCAAACCGTGGCACAATGGCAATTAGTTTTCATCATAGCCGCTCTTAATACCATCAGTTGCACCATCGTTTACGTGATATGGGGCTCTTCAGACGAGCAACCGTGGAACAGTTATGGTAAGTCGAGTCAGGAGAACGAACGAGAAATGCAAAAATTGACGGAAACTCCGAAAACGTTATGACGCGGTAAAACGCGAAATGCGACGACGCACGTATTCCTAAGAACCGGGAGAGATGGTAGATGAGTAAAAGAGTGGAACATGAGAAATGTTGTCTGATTCTTTTTTTCATACGGGAGAAAATTGTGTAATCGCGTTCACGTCACCCTTCTCGTTATTTACAGCTGAGAGTGAGCGTCGTTGAAAGAATTCGAGTTCAAGAATTTTCGTTAGAAGCAAGACACGTTAGAAACAAATACAGATAAAAAGAAAAAACCAGAAAATATGTTGAGTAACATTTTGTAATTTTTTATTTTTAGACATGTTTTTGAAGACTGATAAATTGTAAATTATTTAAATGATACAATCATATTTTAATTTTGAACTACTTTAAGATATTAACATGTTCATGTCAAGATCGTTATAGCTGTTGGTTTTATTTGCTTATGTTCAATTAAAAACATTAAAAACCCATGTAATAGGTATACTTCAAACGCTAGTGAACGCATTTACTAAAGCATTGTTTATTTTTATAATATACAAAGATACAACGAGATCCTTAGAAAAAATAGAATAAAGAGAAAAAGCAAATGATAA